TGAGCTCCCAGAGGAAACGCTTGCTTTTGTGAGTCACCTTGGTCATGGTGATTTGTCTTGGCACTAGAACAGTGACGAAGACAAGGGCTGTTGTGTGTTCAACAGGGACAAAGGGACAGGCTTCAAGGTGAGGCCTTCCCCAGGTCACTGTATTGGAGCATTGATGTTAAACAGGAGGCTGAGTGTGAGGAAGCACTTCAGAGAATCCGGAGAGAGGTGTGGTGGCTTCCACCTGTCACCTCAGTGTTTGGAAAGCTGAGGCAGAAGGATTTCCATGAGTTTCTGGAATAGTTTAGGTTACAGTGTGAGACCACGTCTTGACCAAAAGTAAATAAATAGCCAGGCGGTGGTGGCTCACACCTTTAATTCCAGCACTTGGGAGGCAGAGGCAGGCGGATTTCTGAGTTTGAGGTCAGCCTGGTCTACAGAGTGAGTTCCAGGACATCCAGGGCTACATAGAGAAACCCTGTCTCGAAAAACCAAAAAAAAAAAAAAAAAAAAAAAAAAAAAGTAAATAGGCTGGGTTTGGTGTCACAGCATTTTGGGTCCCTTGTGCCACCCCCTGTGTCTATTCCTGAATACCTTGGGTGAGAGGCTAATGGTAGGCCCAGGAGATCCACACCAGCTTCGACTGTATAGTCAGTTCACAGCCAGACTGAGAAGCATGAATCCCTGTCATGTATGATAGGATGATGACAATGATGACGAACCGTCTAGCTTTGTCCTAATAGAAAGTCACCACTATTAACACTTCGTGAGTTCCATGCCAATGGCTAAGGAAGAAACCGAGGCAGGAGAGGAAGGAAAAATGTGGAAGATGGGGAAGAGAAAACCACCCAAACAGTAACAACTAAAGAGAATCTCACAAACAAGGCATTTTAACCCCTACACTGGGAACACTGGGAGGCAGAGGCGGGTAGATTTCTGTGAGTTCAAGGCTAGCCTGGTCTACATAGAGCACTCCAGGACAGCTAGGCCTACACGGAGACCCTGTCTCAAAAAAAAAAAAAAAAAAGATTAAGAATCCTAGCCAGGCGGTGGTGGTGCACGCCTTTAATCCCAGCACTTGGGAGGCAGAGGCAGGCGGATTTCTGAGTTCGAGGCTAGCCTGGTCTACAGAGTGAGTTCCAGGACAGCCAAGGCTACACAGAGAAACCCTGTCTCGAAAAAAACAAAATAAATAAATAAATACAATTAAAAAAAAAAAAAAGAAGTGCTAACTGTAGAAACTGAACTCCATTCTCAGATACTAAGTGATGGAAGGAGAGGTGTCCTTTGACCTCCACATGTCTTGGTAACACATATGTCTCCCCTATAAGTGAATATGTATAATAACTTCTTATTCAATCCTTTGGAGAAGACAACTTTAAAATCATCAAAGTCATATAAGTAGCTATTGGTGTGACAGTTTGAAAGGATTGTTTCTCAGGGCTGGACAGATGGCGCAGAGGTTAAGGGCACTTGCTAATCTTGGAAAGAACTTTAATTAGGTTCCCAGCACCCATGTTGGGCAGTTTAGAGCCAGTTCCAGGGGATCCGATGCCCTCTACACTGACACTCACACACACACACACACACACACACACACTCATATATACTTAAATTTTTAAAAATCCGACCATAGTCGGGTGTGATGGCTCATGGCTTTAATCCCATCCCTCAGGAGGCAGGAACAGACAGATCTCTATGAGTTCAAGGCCAGCCTAGTGTACATAGCTACCTGTAGTCCAGCCTAGTCTACACAGTGAGGCCCTGTCTCAAAAATGAGCACCCCACCATCACTAACAAAGAACAACAGTGAAAACAGCCAGGGATATGGTCTAGACAGCTGAATGTTGTTCTTATTTTTTTCTTTTGGTTTTTGTTTGGCTTTGGTCTTTTGAGACAGGGTTTCTCTGTGTAGCCTTGGCCACATTGGAACCAGCACAATAGACCAGGCTTCCAACTCAGAGATCTGCCTGCCTCTGCCTCTGTCTCTCCAGTGCGGGGATTAGAGTTGTACATCTCCACCGCCAGGCACCAGTAAAACGGTTTTCTAGTATTCATGAGACCCTGTGTGGAATTCCCCAACACTGAGAAAAAAAAAGTCTTGGCGGAGCCTGGTGGACCATGCCTTTAGTCTAAGATTCTGTCTCCAAAATAAACAAACAAATTTCCAAGGCAGGACCTGTCTGAATTCTCAATTCCCAGTACTTAGAGGTAGAGGCAGGAAGATAATTCAAGGTCATTCTTTGCACAGAAAGTTCAAGACCATCCCGTACCACATTATATCCTGCTTTCCCTCTCTCTCTCCCATATAAGTATGTGTGTGTGTGTGTATACTTGTTAAATATGATAGTTAAGAGTGTAAATTTAAAGGCATACTTTCATAAATTCTTAAGTTTAATTTGCATATGCTGATATTCTACTTAGAACTCTCATACATTTTGTAAACCAACATAGACATTTGTGTAATAAAAAGAGGCATAACTTGTCCTTTGATTGGTGTTCAGTTAGCCTGTGGGCCAACATATGAATTTGCTTGAACATCAGCCATACCATTTACAAACTTAGCTAATTAGGTTCTCGTAAATATTTAAACTGTGTTTACAAATTTAACATACTTGATTTTATTTTCCAAGCGCAAATTCCTCACGGGACACATTTACAAGTCAGATGAGAAAAAGGTTTGGGCACTGAAACATTTTCAAGGAACTCCATCCTTCAATATTTAGTTTATGTATACGTGTGAGCTGCACATCTGGAGGTCAGAGCTGCACGTCTGGAGGTCAGAGCTGCACATCTGGAGGTCACGGGACAGCTTCCAAGAATCCTGGGGTTCCCAAGGGTGGGTCTCAGGGCATCATGCTCCCAGCAGGCATCTTTACCTACTGCCCGCCCTAATTTCGTTTTTTAATTATGTGTACGTGTGTGCTTGGTGGTCTGGTAGTGCACATATTGCAGACGTTTTTTGAAGCCCAGAGAGGGCATCGGATCCAATTGAGCTGGACCTATAGGCTGCTGCAGCTGCCTTTGGAGGGTGTTGGGAACTGAGCTCAGATCTCTGCTAGGGCAGTAACTGGTCATAACTGCTGGGTCATCTCTGCAGCTGCCACCTATGGTTTTTTTGAAACAGGGACTCTCACCCAAGGGCTTACATTAGTATCTAGCTCTTTACCTTGGAATCCTAAGTATATACAGTATATATTTCCTTAACTATATACAGTAGTGGGTGGAGATAGCAGACACTGAGTAATCTGGGGGGAAGGGAAGAAGTTTTCCGATTAAACTGTTGGGATACCTAATGACCTAAAATGTGCCCTTTTGTTTTGTTTTTTTTTTTGAGACGAAGTCTCAGCGTAGCTCTGGCTGACCTCAAACTCGCTATGTAGCCTCGCTATGAAATCCAGATGTATCTGGTGCAAAGAAGGTACAATTTCAGGAGACCCACAAATGTTGAAGCGTAGGAGTGAGTGCTCTCGATTTAACCGCGGCACCTGCAGGGTCCATCTGCGCCCAGCAGCCTCTCAGCCTATTCCTTACGATGCCCCTCCTAACTGATCGCCCTCTGGTTTGGGCAGGAAAGTAACTAGGGGGTCAGGTTTGAGGCAACCTCATATTGTGAGGTGTGCAGGGGGTCAGAGAAGTCAAAGCCCCAAACCCGGGGCTCACCTTCCTTGCAGATGGAAATTACCGCCTCCAAACCTTTGGTTTCCAAACCGGAGAATGGCTAGAACAATTTAGCTCACAGGCCCCGCCCACAAAGGGGCACGCATGTGCGCGCTCGTGTGAAGCCTCGCCGGCCATGTTGGATTCGGGCAGCCAAGTGTACTTCGGTCTGTCGCTCCAACCCGGGAAACCAAAGAGTTGCCTCGACGTTCTGTCCACCTAAATCCGTGGCAGGCATGTGCTCGCGAGGCCGGCGACCCTCCCGACCTGCCTCCAGGTAAATCCTCGAGCCAGTAACCTTGTGGACAGTTCTAGCTCAGTGCTCTTTGCTACCCACGTGACGCTAAAAAGGCACCCGCCTTTCTGGAAGGTGGGAGTCTAACGCACCCACTCATCACATACCGTTCCAGCATCAAAAAGAAGTTCCCAGTATACACCCTGGTACACGGCGCCTTAAGTGTTAGCTTTGAGCTCGGCATGGAGGTTCCAAACATTCTTCCAGCCCCCAGTACCTGTGGCAGGCACACACAAGGCAAGGGAAATGCTCAGAGCCAACCCAGGCCAGTGAAAGTGCAGCTTCACCAGGCCTCTTGGACCGACAGGTCATGTGATGGGCTGGGGAGGGTGTCAGAAACACAAACCGGGATGCCCAGGACTGAAGAGAGAAAGGAATCTTTGTGAATTTCGGAACATTTTAACTCCTCCAGTTTGTTATTTTTATCCCCCCCTGGCTGCTTCTCTGTAGGGGCTCCATACAACATCAAAACTCTTAGGATCAAAAAAGCCCAGCGTGTGTGTGTGTGTGTGTGTGTGTGTGTGTGGTGTACATAGCGAACGGGGAGCTGGAACATTATGTCCCAGGCAGAGTGTGAAAAAGGGCCTTAAGGGCTGGTGTGGGCTGTGGTTTCTGTAGAGATACCCGGAGTGGTGCACCTACCCATTCAGCTCCCCAGCCGAGGGGTCCCTGACTTGAGAAGCTCAGTGGGCGAAGGCCTGGCAACCGAGTTTGATTTCTAGGTCCCGAATGGTAGAGTGAGAGAACTGGTTTCCACTCGATGTCATCAGACTTACATGCGCACGCACACAGACACACACACACACACACACACAGTGGCACATGTGGCCCCGTCACACGTGCATAGAAAAAAAAATTACGTAAGGGGTGAAGAGCCAGTGGGGTCGCCACAGAGGGTTGGCTGGGGTTTGTCCTGGTTTTCCAACCATTTGCAGATCCGTACTCCAGGATCTCGCAATCTCGGCGGCGTGAGGACGTTTGTAGTATGTATGGAACCCGTGTGTCCGGCTTTCCACAGTCGTGCGTAGGCGAGGCGGCGGAGTGTGAAGATGCCAGGTGAGGTGTTGGGGGCATTGCACAGTTTATTTCCAGACACAGAGGGCGAGGTGGGGGATACATCTGCCTTCCCCCCTCCCCCCCCATACATTTGGCTTAATTGAAACTTCTCATCCCTATGTTGTGCAAGACAGAGAAAAACACACACACCCCAACCCCACCCGAGGAGGACCTAGGCAGACAAGAAGCATATGGGTGAAGGTAGGGTTCAAGTATTCACAGATTCCGGGGTGTGTGTGTGTCACGCTGCACCCAGATCCACACTTTCTTCTGCTGGTGTAGATCTCTAGCGTAGATACCTCCAAGCGAGTGCTCGCCCCTTCCCCTGTCATAGTGACTGAGTCTGAGGCTCCCCAATCCATCAAGAAGGCCTCCTCCCCAGTGAGCAGGCAGGCTCACGTGAGGACCCTGGGGAGAGGGTGAGGGTCTTGCCCTACCGATTAGGCTGGGAGCAGGGGAGCAGGATGGGACACGGGGTTTGGAGGGCCTTGATGGGTGTGTTCAGGCAGCTGTGGTCTGAACTCTCACCTCTGCCCTCCCTCTGGACTCGGAATCCCTGAGAGTCCAGCCGCCAAGGCAAGATGGATCTGGGTAGGGGACAGGAGGGGGAGGAGAGTGGGCTAGAGGCTGGGAAGTAGAAGATGAGGTGTGTGTGTGTGTGTGTGGTGGGGGGTGTGGATGGACGGAGTGGGTCATGTGCTCCTACAGCTGGTCCTATTCTTGGGAACCAATGTAGGGAGGGCCAGGACTGTGATCGGGTCCCTTCTCAAGCTCCGACCTTCCAAAGTAACGGGACTGCTGGGAAACACAGGTTAGAACCACTGGTCCCTACGCCCTCAGTGTTCTGACTTCGGGCACAGCGGGAGGAAAAGGGAGGATTGTACCTAAAGGGTAGTATAAAAAACAAAGTGACTTTCTGGGAAGTAGCGGGCCCAACCTCTTGGCCCCCCAGGGCATCAGTCAGCCCCTCTGAGACAGTATGGGGTTCAGTAGCACCATGCAATGTTGGGGTGTTCATGCTGCCTCGATGCCCCCCTGGGCAGTGGCTCTCCAAAGCAGGGGGTACCTGTTTGCTAAAGCATCTTTGCCCTCAGAGGAAGGAGAAGACTGTTGGGAGGGGCGGGGGACAGGGTACGGGGAGGTTTAGTCCAGGCAGGCATGTGGCTGGGGCCCCAAAGGGGCTCCCCGGGAGTCATGATTTGAAGAATCTGTGTACCACGAACTGGCCCAACAGAACCACACCAAAAATCACCATTACGGTCAGGATGGGGTTTCTATGCAAATTCAGGGCTGCCACCTGTCAGGACAAAAAGAAAAAACGGGGTGGGTTGTAGTGGCCGCCCCCCCTCCCCGAAGCAGGGGGATAGCCCAACCCCAGGCACTCACCCAACCGCCTCTCTGTGCGATCCATCTGGCAATGTAATGGTGCAGTATGATATCGATCAGAAAGCAGGTCACCTGGCCCAGGAAGCCGGTCAGACCACGCTGGTAGACGTACAGGGCCAGACGGTAGCCAAAGCCCAGGAGAGCCACCACACGGCCCCAGCTGATGCCACTCTTAAATAGGCTGTGGGCAAAGAGTGTCATAAATCATGGAGGGCCTGCCTTGGGGACACCGTCCTTTCCTTCCTCCTCTGCCCGACCTCCACCCCACCCCCAGATGGGAAGCTCCATGGTTGAGCTCCCAGGACAGGTCAGAAAGTCACCCTTGGCCTGGCTGCCCATCAGGAAGAGCCTGACTTGTTAGGAAAACAGAGAGCCAAGAGAGTGAGGAGCTGGCTGCCGCTGGTACAGGGGGCCCAGAGAGAGGAGAGCGAGCAGACAAGGTGATGGGGATTACCTGTGCATGCTGCTGCTGGCCTGGCAGCCCAAGGGAGAGCAGAGAGAAAAGGACAAAAGAGATTATGACAGATCCCCAAATCACAGGGGCACGGGGTGGGGCCTGAGAACAAGGACAGGATGCGTCACCTCTGGCCTTAAACCCGTCACCTGCCTTCATGTCTACTGCCACCTTTAGATCTATCCTGATGCTGACTCCCTGGTGCCAGGAGAGGACCGTGCTTGGTGGCACATGCCTATGATCCTAGCACTTGGGAAGCAGAATGATTGAGAGTTCAAAGCCAGCCTGGGCTACAATGAGACCTTATCTCAAAACAAGCGGCCAGAGGGGTGGCTCAGTGGTTAACAGCACTGGCTGCTCTTCCAGATGACCTGGCTTCGATTCCAAGCACCCACATGGTGGCTCACAACTGTCTGTAAACTCTAGCTCTGGGAGCCGCCTCATGGCCCTTTCGGGCATCAGGTATACAAGTCGGTGCGCACACATCCTCACACTGATAAGATAAAGATCAAACAACAAAAGTTAAGCCAACTCGGATGTGGCTTCAAATAGGGAACACTGAACAGGTCCTTTCCCGTTCCCTAGGGTTCACAGCGGTGGCCTGTGGCAAGCTGGGATGTGAGGCACGTTACTGAGTGAACCGGCATCAGGTGGCCTCTTAGATGCCATCCGGTTGCAACAGAGCTGACAGAAGTTGGTGGCCCAGCCATCTTTGGTATGTTCCAACTGGGCTTGGGAAAAATCTAGTCATTGGCCCTAGAGCTCCTGAAAGATTTGAGCCGTGTGCAGAAGAGGATGAGTGAGAGGCAGAGAGAGGGGGAGTCAGGAAGGGAACATGTGACAGTTCACCCTGACACTGTTCCCCAGCCGGGGGAGCCCGTCGCATGTACTTGGGGTGGAGACATGGGTTGGTACCTGGAGGCGATCTTGGTGAAGAGTTCGTAGGCATTCCCGGCTGTGGGCTGAAGCTGTTCCAGTAAATTCTGGAACTCCGTGTCGTAACGCCGGTTAATATCGTCTCCGATGAGAGCAAGCTGCCGACCCACCTGACCCAAGACACTGTAGGGACGAGCGACCAGCATCAGTCAGAGAGCGGGAACCGGGCTCGTGGCAGAGGGGCCCCCGTGGGGTGGGGGCAGACTTTTACCCTAGCCCTGTCTGAAGACCTGTGACAGTGTTACAGGCAAGACAAAGGGCAGGCTTGTCCTGAAAGGGACTGCAGTTAAGGGCGAGAAGCCAGGCTAAGAGGGAGTGACCGATAGGGCTCCCAGGACCTGTGCCCCAAGGCTGGAGCTTACCTGTTGGGATCTAGGGGCAGGTTGTCCATCTCGGGGTTCGCAGGGGCAGCCGCCCCCTGGGTCTCTTGTTCCTGCTGGTGGAGGTGAAAAACATAGCTTCGAAAGACCTCCTCTGTGTCCTGGGCAACCTGCTGTTCTGCGGATCAGAGCTGGGAGTCAGCAGGCTGTTCCCAGCACCCTCCGTGGACAGGCACATCCCTCCCTGCCCCGTGTGAGCATTCAGCCCTCTTGAGAGTTAGTCCTGGCACGTGAGTGAGCTCCAGCCTACAGACGGGGAAACTGAGGCACAGGTGGCCAAGCCATGTATACAGGGTCATGCAGCTGGAACAACAGGGAGGAACTATTTGTCTTGGTTGTCTGCTTGATGGGTCTGGACGGGTAAGAGTCTCTGGGCAGGTTTGAGTGTGTTTACCAGAAAGACGGGGGGGGGGGGGGCTTCCTTACAGTGAGCTTACCTTCCAGTTGTAGTGTCACTGCTTGCCCTCCCCCACCTGTCCACTCACTGCCTGTTCCCCCCCCCCCCATGTGCCCGTCCACCCCAATGCTTGTGGTAAGTTCATGCATCTCGCTGTTGCTGCTTTTGCTGCTAGCAGCACCCAGCTGCCTAGGCCTTCTGCTGTGCACTGAGACCCAGGAATCCTCCAGGACGCTCCAGCACCAGACTTCTGGGGTCTGTGCCTTGTGACCAAGCAGCTGCTGGGTTCTCGGCGGCCCCAGCGTGTAGATGGCCTTTGCTGAACAACTCGGGCCTGTCAGGTATCCTAATCTAACAAGCCCCCTTGTGATCTATACCCATTCTCTATCCTAATTTAACAAGTCTCCTTGTGGTCTCTGCCTAGTTTCTATTCTGCTCTTCACAAGAGCCCTGCTAATGACAGCCCAGAATGGGACTTGGCTCTGTAGTAAGAGTTCTGGCTGCTTCTTCTTCTTCTTCTTCTTCTTCTTCTTCTTCTTCTTCTTCTTCTTCTTCTTCTTCTTCTTCTTCTTCTTCTTTTTTTTTAGCTTTTTCAAGACAGGGTTTCTCTGTGCAGCCCTGGCTGTCCTAGAACTCACTCTGTAGACCAGGCTGGCCTCGAACTCAAGAGATCCGCCTGCCTCTGCCTCCCAAGTACAGGGATTAAAGGCGTGCGCCACCACTGCCCGGCGACTTCTGGCTTCTTAAAAAGCCCAGTTACACTCTATGGATGTTTTCATTTTAATCAGAGCTGTGGGATAGAGGGCTGCTTCAGATTGTCCACAGCACATGAGGGTCCCCTGCTCTAGCGGGGCGTGGCTTGTGTCAGCTGAAGATAGTTGAATTCTGAGGACTCTGGAGAGCCCCAGGAGGGCCTGTGACAGCTTCTGCTGGCCACCCCTGGACTGCTGGGTATTCTCAGGCCTTTCTCCAAGGAACCCAATGACCTTAACCAGCAGGAAGTAGTGTATTTTGTTGAGTGAAAGAAGTTTATGCCCCTTTCCCATCTAACCTTCTTTCTCTCCTACCTAGTGTTGGGAGGTTGGAAGGAATTAGGGTGGGAAGGGACTCAGCCCTCTATAGATTACTTCAAACTGATTAGGGTTGGTGCGTTTCTTGGGGCAAGTCCAATCTTCCTTGTTAGAATATCCAGCAGTCTGAAGATAGCAAACTCAGCAGCAAAAGGAGGGGGGGGTAGCCACCGCCACCACCACCGCCACCACCACCGCCACCGCAGGCCCTCTCAGAACTCGAATTTATAACCTCTCTAAAGTCCCCAGAACTAAACTCCCTGCAGCTGGCAAAAATCACGCCTCCCCAGAGCGCAAGACAATCCTAGTTATCGGCTAGGGACACAGTGAGGCAGCCCTATATCCCACACTTGGGATTAAAATGAAAACATATTCATATAACTTCTAAAAAAATTAATTTCAAGATTTATGTTCATATATATGAGTATTCGATTTGCATGTATGCCTTCATGACAGAAGAGGGCATCGGATCCCATTTCAGATGGTTGTGAGCCACCATGGGGTTGCTGGGAATTGAACTCAGGACCTCTGGAAGAGCAGCCAGTGTCCTTAACCACTGAGCCACCCCTCCAACCCACATAACTGGGTTTTTAAAGAAACCAAAATTCTCACTGCAGGACTCCTGAGCTGTCTTGGGTGGGAACATGTAGAAAATGGGGGGAACCAAGCTGAAATTGGGGCGTCTTTGGCCCAAAAAGATCAGTCAAAGGAGAATGGTTTGTTTTTTCACTGTTTTGAGACAAGGTCTTGCTGCATAGCCTTGGCCAGCCTAGAACTCGATAGGTAGACCAGATTGGCCTCAGATTGACAGAGATCCCCCTGCCTTTGCCTCTCTGATGCAGGGAATGAAGGTGTACACTCACAAACACTGTAGGGATGGGTGGCTTTGTTCTGAGACAGGGTCTCCTCAGTCTGCCTCACTGGAGCCCAGGCTGCCTCACTGGAGCCCAGGCTGCCTCACTGGAGCCCAGGCTGCCTCACTGGAGCCCAGGCTGCCTCACTCGAGCCCAGGCTGACCTGGAATTCGTTCTGTAGGGCTGACCGACCTGGGATTGCAGATATGAGCTACCACACCAAGCTCACACAGACCTGGGGTATGAACCCCAAGTCCAGGGACCAGCCTGACCTCCCCACCCCTCCACTTGAGAGAAAACAAAAGGCCAGCCATTTCACTTCCTCTCTGAGGTCTGTGATAATGTCATTTCCTGTTCACAGACCGGACTATGAGAAGACCGGACTGTGAGAAGCCAGGTCACTTACTTCCTCCTTTCTTTCACTGCAGGGATACAGCAGCCAAGCGGGGTTCTTCTGCCTCCCTCCCTCCCTCCCTCCCTCCCTCCCTCCCTCCCTCCCTTCCTCTGCCTGCCCCAGTGCCCTGAGAAGGCTCAACACTACACACACACACACACACACACACACACACACACACACACAAGCACGAACGCACGCACACGCACACACGCACACCAGTCCCATACTCTTCTGAGTCTTGTGCTTATGAGGTCCCGAGGGGCAGGAGGACCCTTACCAGAAGGGGATGGAGACTCATCGCAGCCCTCGTTTGGAGGACCCGGTCCTTGTCCAGATGCCATTTTTCAGGTCTTGGTGGAGAGCACCTTCACTCGTCACCTGCAGAGACGGGCGTGGTGATGTATGACTTTAATCCCAGCACTCAGGAGGTAGAGGCAGGCAGAACGCTTGAGTTGGAAGCCAGCCTGGTCTACATAGTGAGTTCCAGAGAGGCTAGCCAAGGCTATACAGTGAAACCCTGTCTTAAGGGAAAAAAAAGGGGAGAACTCAGAGTGGCTGCCCTGGTCACCACAGGGCAGGGCACCCTGCTTCCTCAATTGCCCAGAAGACTATACAGTCATCTGAGACTAAAGTTCTGCCACCTTGAGGACCTGGTGGTATGTCTTGGGAGCAATTTGAATTCAGGGGAAACACAAGGACTGTTGAGGCAGCCAGGCAGAGACCAGGTGAGATCAAGGCCTTGAGGAGGCTATGGCACAGACGTACTCTTTCCAGTTTTTCCTGGACAGCGTGAAGCTGCTTTTAGAGACTGCTGGGTGTGTGTGTTTGTGTGTGTGTGTGTTAAAATGTGTGTGAAGGTCGGGGGACAGTTGTTGGTCAGTTTTCCAGAGTGAGTTCTCGCCTCCCACCATGTGGGTTCCAGGGGATAGAACCTGGGTTGTCACACTTGGCTGCAAGCCCCTTCACCTGCTGAGCTATCTCACTGGCCCAGATCACTGCTTGGAAGTGAGGTGAGGGGCTCTCAGTCTCCCCATTGTACCTCATTGCTGCTGCACACCATTTGCCAGATCACACCACGCTCTTTGGTGCTGTCTTCTTTTTGGTGATTGGTTTATTTATTTATTTATCTACCTACCTACCTATCTATTTGTTCATTTCAGACAGGTTCTCTCTAGGCAGCCCCGGGAAAGTCTTGTATTCCTGATCCTCCTGACCCAGACATTGGCTGGGCTGGTGTTAAAGGTGTTCTCTGCCACGCCACGCCATGCCACGCCCAAGCCCGTCTTCCTCTTTGACCTGTCTCAGAGTACAGCTAGTTCCTGAGGCCAGATCTTTTACTTTCTGTTTGCACCCCTTCCAAGAGCCCCACCCCTTTCTAAGCTGCGTCCATCAATTCAGGAAGCACTCCATCTCGGGCTGGTTTTTAAAAGTTACTCAGGCGCTCTCTGAAAAGGGGTTGGGGAGGGCTGGCTCCCCTTCACCTCCCACTCCATGGGTAGAGACAGGGTGAGCAGATCCTCTCTTGTCATCCCTGAGAGCCGGGCCTCATTAAGATAACGCTGTGCTTGGCATAGTCTACCCAACAGCTCCTTCCGGGATAGGGTGCTCTTCCTGATACCTTGCAATCCCAGACCGGCAGGGCCAGGAGATCCATTCAGATCTTTCCAAACAAACAAACAAACAAACACCAAAAAAACAACAACAAACACTCTGGAGGCTTACTGTTGGAGATCGAGAGCAGGTAGAGTCTCAGAAAAGCCCCCCACAGTCTGTGCCCTGGGCCACTTGGCCCCCATTCTAGTGGCCTTGACTTCCCATTACGTCTACTGGCTGGGCCCAGGATGCAAATTCCTCACAACTAACCACTAGGCTGCACCTAGAATCATTCTGGGCCGGAGGGAGGTCCTGGGACAGCAGGGGTTATCAACTGTATAACTTCTGTCTCTCTTCATGACCTTGATCCTCCCCTCCTACCAGATAAAGTCCCAGTTGCCTGGCATCCAGGGTCACCAGAGTTTGGGCAAGAAGGGACGCTTTCTGATGTATACCCAGAGGCCCTGTTTGGATTATGCCTCCAGCTTGGCTTTAAAGACCACTCAGAGAAACTGCATCAAGGCCTCCCTCCTCACCGGCTTGCCCATGGAGCTTTCTGCCCCACCCTGGGCCAGAGTTGCCCGGGATTAGGAAGATGGGGTTTGGCAGGCACTGGCTGCCCGTGTACCTGAATGACTCCGCTCCAGATGTGGGGATGGCTCAGGTTTCTGAAGACAAAGATCCCGAAGGCCTGCTGGCTGCTTCCAGGGCCAGGGTTTCAGGCCTGACTGGCAGGAACTGGTATCAGTGAATTCATGGTTGCTGGATGCCGCCTCGGGTCGCCTCTTGGCCCAGGAAACCTCGCGACTTTGTGACCATAGAGGAGCTAGCAGCTCCCGGCAGTGATCAGCTCCCTCTAGAGGACGTTCTTGATGGCCGCCGGATGCAGAGGCACAGGGAGGCTGCTGCTTAGAGGAAGGTCCTTGGCCTGGCCTGGAAACAACTGCTCTGCAGCCTCCCCTGCCTGCCCTGTCTCTGCCAGCCAAGGGGAAAAGCTTTCTGTTTTCTGCCTTTCCTGTCTCTGATTCTGGGGCCTCCTCTTCCATCTTCTCCCTCTAGTGAAAAGCAAACCACAAACAATGACAAAAACCAGGAGGGAGCTGAGGTGGGCAGGGCAAACCTGTGGTCCCAGCATTCAAGAAGCTGAGGCAGGAGGATCATGAAATAGAGGCCAGCCTGTGCTATATAACACCTTGAAAGAAAAGAGAAGAAGGAGGAAGAGGAGGAAGAAGACAACGAGGAGGAAGAAGACTCAGAATTTGTGCTGTCCTAGATTCCTGCAAGCCGCCAGGCTTCTGGGACTAATCTCAAATCCAGAATAAACAGGAGTTTATGGAAAGACAGGAGTGTGTGAAGTCCTGTTCTCAGCATCTGTACCCTGCTATTCCACACCCAGACTCCCTATCTGGCCTCAGCCAGGCTTCCACAACCCGTGGGTGCTGTTGTATAATGTCTCACCATCCCTCAATCTCCAGCCTGCCTCTGAGACCCGCTGAACTGGACCCTGGCTGGCTCCCTCTACCTGCTCTCCTCCTTCTAGCACTCCCACCCCCCAGCCTCCAGTTATCCTCCCCCCACCCCCACCTCCTCTTTGCCTTCTAGAACTCCTGGAAGTTTCCAACTGGAGGTTTCTACTAGCAGTTGGTCCTGGGCTGGCTGCCATGACTTCTTCCTGAGTCTAGGTCCCTCTCAGGATGGCAGCCCAGGCTCGGACCCCTCGGTCACGGATCTTAGGCTGCTCCTCCATGTTGCGCTTTTTCCGAAGCCTGGTGGGGAGTAAGGGCAGTTCTAAGAGCTCTAACAAGACCCTGACCAGGAGCCAGCCCAGCTCTTCACTGGAGCAGGATGTTGGCTCCCCAAAGATGGGCCGCCAGGGAGGACGTGGGAGGAAGGAGACCCGGCCCAGGGCCCTCTCTACAGCTTCCTCTAATGGGAGGAGGGAGTCACGGCCCAAGGTCCTCTCTGCAGCTCCTTCCAACCCAAGGCACGATGCCTTTGGGCTGGGCACTGGGGATACAGAGTCCCAGACCCTCAACTCTAAGGATGTCCTGAAACTAAGGACCCAGGGTGTCGAGGTAACATCAGTTCCCACCAGAGGAACCTGGGAGGTTCTGGAGCACCTGCCTGAGAAGAAAGGAGAGGAGGAAGAGCCAGCAGGGGAGGTCTCTGGGCCCTCAAACAGGTGAGTGGCTGGGGCTGCTGGTGCTGGTGGGCTAGCCTGATCTAGATAGAGCAGAAGGAGGATTCAGGCTCGAGGGTCACGATGGAAGTCCATGGCTGTGAAGGGCTGGGGTCAGAGATTCTGAATAGTGAAAGCCATGCTGGACAGTCAAGGGTCCCAAGGGAGGGAAGGATTAGCAAATAGGGCTGTGTGACGGGTGGCTGGGCTGCGGAGTGGGCAGCAAACAGAGCTGAGGTGTGGCTTAGGGGCGGAGCACCGCCTGCCTAGCATGTTCCAAGCCCTGGGTTTAGTCCCTAGCACAACAGAACAACCAACCAGGAAGTGGTGGTGCCCACCTTTAATCCCAGCACTCAGGAGACAGAGGCAGGCAGGGATAGCAGCCACTCCCTGTGAGGAAGGTGGCTAGCCCCCAACTGTCCTGGGTCCCCCAGGTGGTAGGAAAACCCTTCTCTTAGATACCCAAGGGAACAGAGCGGGGGCCTGAGAGAGAGAAGAGGGGTCAAGCAGGTCCCTAGAGAGACTCAAGGTAGAAGTCTTGGTCACATCTGTGGGTGTCCCCTGACTCCTCCCACCTGACTGTAGCTTTAGGTTTAGAGAGCACTTTGGCCAGGCCCCAGAGGCAGAACAAGGATGCCTGCAGTGCGTTCCAGGACCACTGGCGCTCACCCCTGGGCCCTTCATCAAAGAAGAAGAGGACGAACACTGCCCAATTGAGTTTGGTAAGGATGCAGGTGAGAGAGGCAGAGGGGAGGGGAGACGAGGAGCAGAAATGGATACCTCTCCTCCAGGACTTCCGGGGTGGGGGGTGTTGGCAGCCCAGTGGGACACGAGAGACAGAATCTGAGGTTGTAACCCCACTTTCTCCACACTGTGTCATGTGACAATGGAGCATTGCTGAGTGCCTCTGTCCGCTCTCCACCTACAAAATGGAAAGGGACAACACTGGCCTCTGAGGCACCTTGCAAAGATCAGTGAGGTGTCAAGGGCTAGATCATGGCCGAGCACACAGTAGGGCCTGGCACACAGTAGGCATCCAGTCAAACAGCGGAGCCCCATCCGACGACTCATTCTAGTCCCAGCACTTACAGGGAGGCAAGAGAACTGGAGATGAAGGTCAGCCCACCTTCTTCGAGGGGCTCTGTTGCACGATATTTGATCACACCATGAACCCCAAGATTGTGTTATTTCCTGGAGAAAAAAAAAAAAAAACAACCAAAAACCTGTTTCTAGTTGTGGTGTGGCTCAGCCTTAGCACACACCTTTAATCCCTCTGTCTGGAATACACCTTTAATTCCAAACAGGGTAGGTAGAGTGTAGCCGCCTGCCACCACAGACAAACTGGGTTCATCTGAAAAGGGGGACTAGAAATAAAAAAGGACAGAGAGGCGAGAGAAGCATGAAGCCAAGACAAAGTTTTCTGATCAAGGCTCAAAGTTTAATATTCAGCTCTTGTATATGTAGGGAAATCCCACCAGAACCCTTCCTTTGTTTCAGCTGCAAGGCAGGCTGAGCTGCAGTCTCTTCTAAGTTCCTGTAGGAAGTTTCAAGTATAAACAAAGTAGCAGGATTCTCCTAGGTGTTAAGGTCCTGCGAGCAACACAAGGTCTGTTCAGACTGCTCAAGGCTGGGGGCAGGGCACAGTAGAGTAAGTTTAGAAGGAAGCAGCCATGTTTGAAAGTGATATCTAAGCCAGGCGGTGGTGGCACACGCCTTTAATCCCAGCACTTGGGAGGCAGAGGCAGGCGGATTTCTGAATTCGAGGCTAGCCTGGTCTACAGAGTGAGTTCCAGGACAGCCAGGGCTACACAGAGAAACCCTGTCTCGAAAAACAAAAAACAAAAAAAAAAAAAAGAAAGAAAGGAAAAGTGACGTCTAATTGAGTGGCAGACAAAGTGACGAATCAGAGAAAGATTTGACAGAACAGGATATGCCCAACTCATGAGCAGAGAGAGGAAAGCAAAGCTACTTGAGGGACAGTGGAGAGAGAGAGAGAGAGGGAGGCAGTTTTACCAGGAGAGTTATACAGACAGAGGTTGAAGAGAGAACAAGTCACAGGTGAAGACAGACGGGCCAGAGAATGAGAAGGAGCCAGAAGGTTAGAACAGATCACCAAAGTTAGAAAAAGACCAGGCAGTGCAATTCAGGAGAAGCCAAGAGAAGTCAGATTGAACCAGTCAGCACTGAGAGGAGTTTGAGCCAGAAGAGCTGAGTCGAACCAGCCAGGCAGAGCTCAGAACTAGAAAGGGTGAGCTTATTCAGCAGCAAGTCTCAGGCTGAAAAATTTTAGGCCTAGGTTAGATAGTCCAGAGGCTAGAAGCTTCCAGGACCAGGCCTAGGTTAGCTGACGGAGGCAGTAAGCCTCGGAGGTGACAATTACATCAGGAGAATAAAAGTGACTTTTACATCCAACGATACACTTCTCTCTACAAGTAGTAACAGTAACAAACCTGAACAAAGGCACATCTGGGATGGGGGGCGGGGCGGAGTCAGGAAGGTCAGGAGTTCAAGACCAAACTTCACGAGGTGTCTGGAGAACACAGAACAGCGACGACAAAAATCACAAAAGGTAATAAGATCAGGGGACACAAGGGGGTCTTCAGGTAAAGGACACTACCGCCAAGCTCGGTGAGAACTGTACACACCCATGCGGTGGTATGTGCCTCTCCCCTCCCCCTCCCCCTGAGACCAGCGTCCATCAACTCACTGCCAGCCTCAGGGGTCCCCTACCTTCTTCACAGGGGACGTCAGGCTGTCCAATTGCAAGGCGGGGTCCACCCCATGGAACTATCTCCTTGGCTTGTACAAGCAACTCCAGAAGTCGGCCAAGGCCAAGGTCAGTGGGGCCGGGGCCCCTCCTGTTTCCTGGTTTGGGGAGGAAGGGGGGGACACAGACCTAGCGTCCTGAAACACCCTCCCACCCCCGCACAGGCTCAGAGACCAGGTGCGCCTCAGTTTGCTCTCAAGGAAGGCTCGCCCCACGAGGAGAAAGGGGAGAGAGAAGAAGCGGTGGACGAGGGCAAGTGGTGCGCCCCGCGCGTCTCCACCTACCAGTCGCCGCTGCAGAAGACGTTTAGGTCCACAGATACAGTGGGTAAGTGTGTAAGTGACCAGCTCGTGCCAATGGCTTAGGGAAGAAACGCGAGCGTCGACCACCAGGTGGCAGCAGAGACATACGATGACTGGCTTTTGAGTGGCTGGTCTATTGACCTCCACAAGCTGGGACCCAGCGGGCCGCTTAAGCACCGCGACCTCACCCAGCTCCAAGCAGAGAACCAAGGCTAGCGGGGAGGGTGTCCTCCAAGCCTGTTTGTTTGTTTGTTTGTTTGTTTGTTTTTGGTTTTTCGAGACAGGGTTTCTCTGTATAGCCCTGGCTGCCCTGGAACTCACTCTGTAGACCAGGCTGGCCTCGAACTCAGAAATCCGCCTGCCTCTGCCTCCCAAGTGCTGGGATTAAAGGTGTGCGCCACCACTGCCCGGCTTAAGCCTGGTTTTTGCTTTGCTTAAGCATCAGACAATAGCAGTTGGCACCTTAGACCCGGAGAGGTGGAGAGGCCTCCGAAGTCAAGAGCACTGGTTGCTCTTGAGGAGGA